TTACTGTGCTTATTTTAGTTTACGTTTTTTACAAAATTTCTCTTTATATCATTTTAATTTAATGTCAATGCCTTCAATTTATTTTATATTAAGCCATGGAACTCTGAAATTTCATCATGTTTCAGTTTCCACATGGTTTATCAATTTTCATGTCATAATAAAGCAGGGACGATGAAAGGTTACAGTTACGAGTAGACCGCATAGGTTGTCCGGGACGACAGTTTTCGCTGAGGAATCGATCCTCCTTTCCCTCTGTTAATTACTTGATCACGGTTGTTGCAAAATGACACTCCACCTTATGAGCCCTGGAAGGAAGGGGCGATAAGGCCTCCGGGTGAACGAGTCCAAGCGAGAACGCCGTCGGGAGACGTAAGACCCGCGAGAGAGTAGGGGAGAACGCCGTTGGGAGACATAAGACTCGCGAGAGAGCAAGGGAGAACGACGTTCCGGAGGGAATGAGGCCGTAGCCCGGGGCAGAAAGAGAGTCTTCTTTGCCGGCGTGAAAGCATTGACAATAATCCGCTTATGGGGGAACCGACATTGATACCCTTGCAGCAGGGGGTGGAAGGCCAGAGACCGGAGTTTTGAGAGTGGTAATGGAAGCACGAAGCCATAGCGACCCGTAGGAGCAAACGATAACGACAGGCCCCTCGAGCCCCTAGTCGGCAGCCGAGCCGTGCCGGCCACGCCAACGCGAAAGCATTTTCTGGTCAGGACTCGAAGCCCGGACGCATAAGTCTGTCGCTACTCTATTAGATGGATAACGCATCAAATAGGATATCTCACTCGGACACACGACCTCGAGGGCGGATATATAGAGAGACAAATATGCAGTCCCTTTACTGCACCGGCCCTCCGTCCTCGTGCTACCGCCGAGGCTGAGTGTTGACGGACTCGAACGCTTTCCGAATGACTCACCCCCCTCCACCCCTTTACCCCCCATGTGAAACGTTTGTCAGAGAATTCGTATAACGAAATATTGGCTATTTAAATTTACTTTGGTCTGTAGCGGGGCTGTTCGGCCATCGCGAAATGCGCAACAACTTGTTTGCATATAATATCATATTGCAAAAATGTCAATTCGTTCCGCAATATAAAATTTTCTCTGCAATTATGGTTCAATCTTCTACTGTCGTAAGTTCAATGTGTTCATGTAATCAAATTTTAAAATTAACTAGAAGTCCTGTGGTTTTCTCATTGCTTCATAAACTTATTTTTCATATTAAGGTTTTCCAACGTTATTCGTTCAATGTGTGCATACTTCAATCGTTTGACTACATTTTACAGTAGTGTATTTGAGGTCAGATTGAGAAAAATTAAACCATCCATTTTCTAGCAATTGATTTACTTTCCAGTGTATTGGTCGGGGCGAATCGGGAAAAGATGGTTAGAAACTACGTTAAGAAGATTGGCCATCGAGTGTATAAAAATGACGCCCAAGAAATGTTTCAGACTGTACTCGAGCGAGAAAAACGGGACCAAATAACTTTGACAGATACTAAAGAAATTTATAAAGTTTTATATTGGCTGCTTATTTTTAAGGAAAACAAAATGTATTTTGAGACATTCACAAAGACTAGCATTTATGTTTTCTTTCATGAATTTCTAGATTTATGTTGTTTTACTTCTGCGCGGGAAACAAAATTAGTAAATTCAAATCATTTTCTGAGTTAAATATGGTGATCTCATTAAGCGAGTTGGTTCAACTTACATTTAGTGCAAAATCACATTTTATTAAATCAACTCCAAACTTGACTGAAACAGAATTGATAGCGCCAAATCTAAATTGAGTCAACTGGTTTATTGAGTTCGCCACATTTAACGCTGAAAATTAAATGAATTTACTCTCCTTTTTTTCGGCTTACTAAAAAATACGAGAAAACATATGTTTGATGAGGATTGCACATGGTGTTCCTAATAGCAGACTGTATTTTCTATTCGAAAAAAAAAAACTTGTTTCTTGAGTGTCGACCTAATATTTCTTATTTTTTGTATTTATTAACTCCCAACTAGGAGTCTATTGGGGCATCTACAGAAGAAATTATATCAAAACTATGGTTCAGCCTTTAAGTTGCTTCTTAATGGAATTCAAGGATATTTGTCAGTTATCTAAAATTGAAACCAACTTGTTCAAAGAAATAATACACTGAAAAAGAAATCAATTGCTAGAAAATGGATGGTTTAATTTTTCTCAACCTGACCTCAAATACATTACTGTAAAATGTAGTCAATAGATTGAAGTATGCACAGATTGAACGAATAACGCTGGAAAACCTTAATATGAAAAATAAGTTTATGAAGCAATGAGAAAACCACAGGATTTCTTGTTAATTTTAAATTTTGACTTCATTAAAACATTAAACCTCCGACAGTAAAAGATTGAACCATAATTAGAGAGGAAGTTTTAAATTGCGGATCGAATTGACATTCTTGCAAAATGACATTATATGGCAACGAGTTGCAGTATATTTCGCGACGGACGAACAGCCCCGTAACACCCAAAAATAAATTTAAATGGCAAATATTTCGTTATATCAGTTGTCTGACAAACGTGACACATGGACTGTAAAAGGAAGGAGGGGGTGAGCCAACCGAATAGGGTCGAGTCCGTCGACACTCTTCCTCGGCGGTAGCTGGATGATGGAGAGGGTCGGTGCGGTTAATTTCCGGGCCACTCTACAAGGCTCGCGCCACGATAGCACGTGATAATCGTTACAAGGAAAAGGTGGGGGGGCGCCCGTCGAACAGGACGAACGCTTGCGGGACGCAACAAAGCACGTACGAAAATGAATCGCGGTGAACGAGGTATCCCCCTCTGTAGGAGGACCTACGGGGCACATCGCCTGGCCAGAAAGACTTTTTGGGCCCCCTGGTGCCTTGATAAGGGCTCGGCGCCCGGGAGTTGTGCAATCGGGATGGCGCCGGCCCGCGGTCGGCACTCTATCCTCGCCCACCGCGACCTGCGCGCACGCAGCCACGGAATTCCTTCCGGTACTTCGCGGTACGGGGGCTCGGTAAGACAGGCAAGCGTGGATTTCTTCCTGGTTCACTATGGAATCTACAATCGGAACAAATCGGATCGCGACCCCGGTGGGGCGGTGTGGTCCCGTCTCACCGGCAAAGTTAGAGGTATTGTTCTTTTTTGGGGGGACTTTCTGTCCTCCCCGGTCCGGTAACGGGCATGGCGCAGGGGGGGGGGGCGGTTGCGTAACCGATCGCGTAGCCCCTTTGCGCTGAAGGCGCTCACCGAGGAGTTTTTAGTGGGTGCGAGCCCCACACTACCTTCGACCCTCCCCGGGGACGGGGGTGTCCGGTAGGGATTTTCTTCTTGTAAAAAGAAAAAAAGGGACTTCCTTTTCCGTTTCGATGTCGTCTTAGCGGGCCTTGCCGAACCTAGGACCGAGAGCCGACCTGCCCTCTGGCCCCGTCGAAGTGGGTCACTAGCAGGGGGTCGACACTGCTATGTATTGGGGTGTAACGCTTTATGCACTACTGCCATCTTCGGGTGGAGTAAACCTTCTTCGCGAACTAAATTATTTGGCGGGCTATTCAAATTCATTTATTAAACGAAGGGATATTTTCGGGATTTAAAAAGTACTTGCAAAACAGGCGTTGCTTAAACTGACACACACAAATGTAAGAAAACAGTATATTAAACATAAAATAAGTAACAAAAGTGTCAGTGGTGCAATGCCTGTTTTAAATCACTGTAAAAACTGAAATAATTACATTAAACATTAGTTAAAAAGTCACATATTTATTAAGATAAGAATATTAATTATTATGAATGTATAAATATACAAATTCTATACAAATTTAATTTTTGTTATGATTACTTTCATGGATTAATCTATAGATCGCATTTAATCCATTTAATTATTACAATTATTATAGTAAGAGACTACAAACTGTTCTTGATTTACACTATTACTGACAAACTCACGTTAGCGATTTAATACTCGAGGTAATCGAAACTTGTGAAAATATTGCCACTAATCGAGGTTAGGTTCACTTTGGTTCAGTTGTCCCGACTATTTTTATGCGCATCTACGCTGCGCCTTCTGGAGTCTCTTGCTATTGGTTAGAAAATTTTTTCTCTGTTCTTCTCTTTCTATTAGACTGAAAAGTCACGACACCAGCGCAGTCTTTGCGTGGAGTAGATGAACTAACTTCAGCGTTACACCTCTCCCATAAGGAGTGTCGACCCCCTGGTCACTAGGCCGACTAATTAGGTCGGCCACCGGCCGATGGCAGCAGGTTCTTTAAATCGCATGACGCTTCGCGCGTCTCCTCGAACCTTGAAATGTCAGCGCTCCCCGGCCGGTGCGCAGCGCCTTCATACGCCCTTCCCTATCGACAATTTTCTGCTTATTTTCTTATATAAACTCTTAACCTAACGATTGCCAAGGGGACCTCTCCGCACTCCGGCTTTAAATTCACCCCTTGTGACGAGTGGTGAATTTCACCACGTCACAATATATGAGACGGGAAATCACGATTTCGTTTCTATGTCCGAAAGTGGATCCATCGTAAATTTTCCTACTGCATTTCACTGTATATATTTTTAGAAACTATTTTTTTTAAGGTAAAATAATATTCTAACTTCGGTTCAGTGAATGGAACAATTAAATCGCTAAGAAACTTCTTAACAGTTAATAAAACATGTTTTATTATATTATTTAAAAAATTCTGTAAATTACCATTTAACAAAAACTACGTTAGGTGGGTCAGGGACGCTCCACAATAATACTTAAATCATTCTCATTAATTGTTTTTTTTTTTAATATTTATTTTCTTTAGGAAATCCATTCTGCCCTTCCGTCGCTTCAAATTCCGCGCTGCTCCCGCCGGTAGTACGCCGCGCGGCCGGAGAGGGCAGTACGGACAGGAGGAAATCTTAGACAATAAATATCTAGACCTCGCATTGGAGTGGAAGGGGTAAACCAGAATGTACCACGTGAGCCGACGATACGCTAGTGTGCGTCGTGTACGTGTAAAGATCGGGAAGTACACAAAATAATAAGATTAAAACTAAAGTGGTAAAGTTCACCAATATTTTCAAATTATAAGATGGGTCGGAGATGCGTTGTGCCAAATTGTGGTGCAAAAAGCGAGAAGAGCCCCGGCAACCCGCGCTCCGCGACCTCTTCGTTTTTTGAGGAAGTAAAGAAAATGTCATTGAATTTAAGGTTATGTTTTTAAAATGTTTCATAAAGAAACTTAATAATTATTCATTTAATTGTAAACTTTTATGTTAATTTGATATTAATGTTTTTAGATTCCCTAAGAACACCAAAATGCGAGATGATTGGCTTTCAGTCATTAATATAAAAAACGATGAAAATTTTAAATTGAATGCTGCTTCTTGCATCTGTTCTCAGCATTTCATCAAGGACTGTTTTATGGCAAAGCAATTTGGAAGAGCTACATTATTAAAAAAACGTGCTGTACCACAATTAAATATCTTCCGTCCAGAAGTCGAAAAGTATAATCCCATGCATGTACCACCATCTTTTTTAAAAGAAGAATCACATAATACGACAGAGTAAGTAATTCAAACAATACTCACTAACAACTAGAATCATTAGTCTGTTAGTGTAATTTAGGCATAATATTTTTTGTTTTCCAAGGGAGGTGAGCCAGTAAGTTCTCGATCAGAGAGAAATCCTAAAGGAGGTGGTACTTACTGACCAAAATGTTACAGACAGTAAAGTAAATTCTGAAGCTAAAGCGCAAGTGCAAAATATTATTCAGCTGTCATCTAGAAAAAAATGTTTGAAAGAGATTTTAGCATTGGCGATGTGGATTCTACAAAAAAAGCACGGTTGTATTTTCAGGCTGCTAAAGAAAAGATTTCAAGTTTTAAAAATCGACTTCAGGTGTGCAGAAAACGATGCAAATAGCTAAATATAGAAAAAGATAGGATCCTGCTGCTGGTAGAAGAATTGCAAAAAAAACAAGAGTTATCTCAAAGTACTGTGGGTCTCCTGTTGGTAAGTTGTAGCAGAACTTAATTTTGATTTATCTGTGTTTAAATTTTGTTGTGCCTATTTTTATAATTATAATTTATATTACTATAATATATAAAAAATAATATTTAAAACTATAGTATATTAAATATGTTATTATCTAAAAGATTAAATAATTGTAAATAATAATTCAGTTCAATATAGTCCTATTAGACTAATATTTGTAATTAACACATTGACAGCCGGCGACCTAAGAGACATTTGATGCTTGAGCGCCGGCAATGTAGCGACAGACTCAGAAAATCCGCGTTTTCGCGGGGCCGGCGCTCAAGCGACAGACTCAGAAACCCGCGTTTTCGCGGGGCCGGCTGTCAATGTGTTAAGATTATTTTAAACTACATACATGTATATACTCAGCATTGCTTCAACATCAAATTCAAAAATAGCGAATCAACCCGTTCAATATAATAATGCCAGTAGTATAGATGCTTCATCAATTCTTTATGAAAATATTACATCCTTAACAAGAAATAATGCTGGAGAAGATTTGATGCTATCTGAAGGCTATTTAAATATTGTCAAACAAAGTGATCACAATTATTGCCCATCAGAAGCATGGCATCTGACAACATATACTGAGGACATTGTAACATACATTGTTGGTTTTGTGGCAAAATGGTTGTAAAGCTGTATTTCGTGTGAAATTTGCAGAAATGCTCTGATGTGCAATAATTTAAGATTGGATCTTCTTAATAGGAAACTCAGAGGCATTCTTTTTACACCATCTTTTCTCATTGTTATGGTATGCCAACAGGCAGAAAAAATGTTTCGCATTTTCAAAGATAAATACAATATTTATGTTCAAAGGAATGTTCCTGATTTTTTAATCAAAATTACCATGCAAACTATTTCGTTTTCAATAATAGAACCAATAGCACAACATTTTACTGACCAGGAACCCTAGAATAATCATGGTATTCAGTTGTTACAAAATATACTCAAAGGTTATTTTACATTACGACTACATCATGAAACAAAAATGCATAATATTAACCCTTCTAGTGCCGGCCGAAGTTGTTAGCCCTTGTACAACGACGATATATCGTTCTCCGGCACTAAAAGGGTTAAGTTACAAAACCGAAGAGTACGAAATAAACTTACTAAAGAAGTACATTTTCTACACCAATAAATAATATTAAACTTGTATACTTAGATTTTTCAATTCCTTTTCCATTATCACTTTTCCTATTTTCACATTCTTTTGAAAATATAGTATAACTTTGTCACTGAGGTTAAAATACGCGGGCTTGGGAGGTCACGTGTACTGACGCTCACCCACACAGTTACACAACTATTCTGCTTACAGAAAAACTGGGAGTGGGAGGTCCAATGCGAGGTCTAGTAGCTATATAAGGAGGAAACCATCGACGAATGCCAGTGTAGTTAACCGGTGTTTAATTGATTTACAGCTAGTTTAAACTGCATGTAAACCAATTAAACTTTTGTTAACAGGAATCGTGAAAACGGGTTTTGCTAGGTCCGAACTCCATAAAACTTGGATTTCGATTAGACCGAGATGTGGTTAGCGTTTCAACAGCCATGTTGCGACGTCACGATCGCGTGCGCGAATCATAAACGGATTGTCGGTTGAAGTAAACTAGAGACACCCGTCTTTGATGACCGTGATTTGAACGATCCTTAACTATTACAAAATTATTTGGAAATATCCGTTAACCAGTTCAAAAGTGTTTATTAGCAATGTGGTTCAAATATTACCCCCTTAACTTTGACAGCGAAGATTGACTGTATGGTAGTGAAACGTTCATTAAGTTCGCAGCCGATCGAAAATTCGACAGTGCAAAAATGGAACAATGTGTTACATGGATAAAAGGAAAGATGTTGCTAAACTGAAGTGGGACGGATTACGCAGTTAAAAGAGTCGGTAGACGGGGATCGCGAAGGACTATGTCCAAAATGGCAGCGGAACCAAAAACAACTTTTTCGATCGACTAACATCGATAAGTACTCGATCGTTAACGTGATTATTTATTTTTAGAAAAACACCATGATATGGAATCGATTCGCAACGGGTAAGAAGACGGCAATTCATGAGTTATAATGTGAAGTGATCCATTGACAGTGTCCTCATGATTTAGAGTTCCTGCCAGTACACGCGATAGTTTGTTCTACAGGTTTCGTAACTCCTGCACAGGTGAGTATACACTATTGAGGACTTCATTTCATGCGTAGGAGTCAATGACTAGCTTATTGCATGATGAGTGGCCGTCACCTTGATTGTTAATGAAATTCTGCTGTTATTAATCGTCTTCTAATTCTATAATGTTTCAGTGCAAGTAACCATTCAAAATAAGATTTTTTACGGTTTAACGTAAATGTGAACTATCCAAACATTTTAAGGTGCTCCTATTAATTCCTATGATTTTAAGTTTTTGTTGGCACATCTAACCTTTCTTCACTTTTGAATTTATTACTCTTATGTGTAGGTCAGTATTGAATTATGGAAAATTCCTTATATGTCACCAGTAAGAACTGATATCTTAACGCTTAGTGTCTAATTATCATTCAGTTACTAATATCTTCATAATTCTATAGTTTTTCAGTGTCAGTTGCATATCTTAATTAAGTTGATACGCTCAACAGAAGAATAACATTCCTTTTAACACATTGCGTACAGCATTCTGTTCGCTTAACACGCTTCCAGGACCCGCACACTTTTTAATATAAGGTTTCGTTTGCTACATACGAGATATCTTGTGACCCATACGTAATGTGTTAAAATGAAATGCAATTATGCCCAAATATTTCTTGATACTTCTGTGTAATTTTATGATTTCACTTTGTGTTACTACATGTAGTAAATTCCTAAACTAATTTTATAATTCTCTGACAGGTGAGTATTTCATTTCAAGTATTTGCTGATTGTGTAACTATGAAGGAACTGATTTTGATATATGATTATTTTACAATAATTTATCACTTTTTAATTGTGGATAAAATTTAAGTTGTTTTAATCATTTAATCAATAATATTGTAAACTATTTTAGTGCCAGATGCACCTGTTCGTTTTGATTGTGATAATTATGCATATCAATGAAGCAGTCACAAGGAGAACTGAGAAATAATGCAATCATATAATCGAACATTTCTGCAGTGCTGCAGTCTGTTTTCAGTGATTTGAATTATTGTCTGGGTTTAACCACACATTCTTCTATCTACCTGTAAATCTTTTATTTAAGTATCTATCCATCTTCAAGAATTATAGATATGAGTGAATAATTGTTTTCATCCTAATAATTAGTCATAACCTTGACAATAATTGAGCGTCTATGAAATTTATAATAGTTTTAACTGTTTCAGTGCTAGTTGTACGTGCTTCTAATTAAAATAAGTCTTCACCATACGGTACGATGGAAGATGCCAACGAGGTGCTAGTTTGTGCTGCAGAATTTATAACAGGTATCTTATAGTTTTTTTTTTGTTTATTTCATGTAGGATATTCAATTACAGTTGTACATGTATTGCAGATAAATTATATTTTGTGACGTTGCGCACTACTGTTAAGCCCAGATGTACACCGAACACTCATTACTTTAGCATTGATGATGAGCTTGTATATGGAAACTTTTATGCTGACTTTGGTCCACTCAATTTGGCTATGCTCTATCGTTATTGTCAAAAAATTAATAAAAAACTGATGTCTGAAGCGCTCGGCAAAAAAAAGATTGTGCATTACACAACTATGGATCCACAAAAAAGGGCAAATGCTGCATTTCTTATAGCAAGTTATGCGGTAAGATTTTTTTTCTTCCTTGTAGATGAATATAAATTACATATTAAAACTTTAGAGTTTAGTATACGGCACCATTCAACCTTAACTAAAAAATTAGTTTCAATGATTTTATTTTTAAAATGTTTAACGATTTACAATGGTTATATTTGACATAATTACCTATAATATGTATTGTAGATTTTATACTGTAAGTACAGTGCAGAAGAAGCCTATGAAATTTTAACTAATAGCCCAAACAGTCCACCATTTGCCATGTTTCGAGATGCATCATTGCGCACACCATGCTATCAGATATCATTAAGCGAATGTCTAAGCGCGGTGCAGAAGTGCTACCAACTGGGTTTTTTTAACTTTCGTGATTTTAATCTTCAAGAATATGAGCACTTTGAAAAAGTTGAAAATGGTGACTTAAATTGGATTTTACCTGGAAAATTCATAGCATTTTGTGGCCCTCACGCAGAAACTAAGGTTGAAAACGGTATGTCATAAATTTTCATTCAGTATACCATAAATCGTATTAGTGGATTTAAAGGAAAACTTTGTAATACTCCCTTTTTCTTGTTTTAAATTAATAAAAATCGTACTTTTTTTTCCACTCTTACACTATAGATTTTATTTTAGATGTTTCAAGTATAATTACACGAAGTTTTCATTGAATTTCAATTTTTTATTTCTCTAGGCTGTCTTATCACCTTTACTTTTTTGTATCAATTATTAATTCATTTTTTTTCACTTCTGTCAATAATTTCTTTTTTGTTGGCTCTGTGTAAATGTGAAGTAGTCTTAATTTCAGCATTTTATTCTACGACGGTTCTAACAGTTTTTCCTTCTTCAGGTTATCCTCTACATGCTCCAGAATCCTACTTTGCGTACTTCCGTCAAAATAACGTGTCAACTATAGTAAGGTTAAATAAACAGATCTATGACGCCTCTAGATTTATGGAAGCTGGATTCGAACATAAAGAATTATTTTTTGTGGACGGGTCCGTACCGCCTGGTTTTATCGAACGACAGTTCTTAAAGATCGCGGAAAATGCAAGCGGTGCTGTAGCAGTTCACTGTAAAGCAGGTCTTGGGAGAACAGGAACATTAATTGGTTGCTACATAATGAAACACTATCATTTGACCGCACATGAAACTATCGCCTGGATCCGAATCTGTAGACCAGGGTCTGTGATTGGGCATCAACAACAATGGCTAGAAGAGTGGGTACTCCTTTAAGATGAAACTCTTGGTCGTAATGTTCGTATGTACACTAACGCTTTTTACCTACCCATATAGCTGCACTAAATCGCATTCACCAGCTTATTTTTGATATATCATTGTTGATCGCAAGAGAGGCAGTGGGCACTTGTTAATTTACAAGAGTTACTGTATGAAAGAGGCAGAAGTGTAAACATTTCAAAGTCGATTAGGGCGTAGTCGACTTTTATCAAATTTCGAAAATTCACATTACACACTAATCCAATTTTTTTTTTACATTGCAACCAGAGAACTTATTCATGATAATTAAAAATGAAATAGAATGATAATTGCTTATATTGTTAATTATCGGTGCGACAATGGCTATAAAATGTCTTTATGATACAAATTCTGAAATGCCCAGAGCTTTTAATTTTCTAAAAAATCTATGTTTATATTTTTAAGGGTCTGATTAAGTCAAGTCGGACCATTTTGAATTGTACCGTCAGAAACGAAAATCGTTCAAAATTTTCAGCCGGTATTCTGCAAATCGAATGACAATTGCCGACGAAATCCATGACCCGAAGAAACTAGGTAGTCATAAATTGTGTCAGCCAGTCAATTTATGACGAATCATGCACTACGAAATGAAATATCACTCTCCAAAGATCGGTTCACAAACTTACGATTCCAAGGTGATAGTTCAATAATGAACACACTGTCAACGATAATATGGACCGTCTGACACATACGACACTTACACTTCGACGAATACGTGGAAAATGTAACTGAATATCGGCAGTAAATTTTACGCTATTTCGCTACCTCTGACGTCACAATTCGGTGTGAAGACATGCTTTTATTGAACTCTTAAGGGGGAATAGTACATCATTTTCTCTGTGCATTTTCACACCTACGAGAGCTGAAAGCAGGGAAACTTCGCACCCAAAAATGTTTGTACAGGATGTATTATGCGTAACTCGAATAGATGAAATTACAACCTTCTGAAAATATAATTTTTCCTGCGGAACCAGATTTTTCAATTATTTATAGGAAAAAATATAAATGACGAGTAAAAATCCGTACTGGCAGTCCACGAAACTATCATGGTTGTCGAACATGGCCTGTGTCGTTACTCGTTCAACGCTTACAGCCCTGTTAACAGAACCACTAATGAAACTAAAAAAGAAGGGCCGCGCAAGGAAAGTTGTACATTTGTCAACTTTATGCCATATCACTAGGAACTGCCGTTTAATAGCCGAACTCGACATTTTTTCGTGCGAACATGCGAAGCTGTCAAGGAGGACATTTCCCTCGCCTAAAACTTGAGCGAATTTCCGCCATGAGCGCTAGTTGTCCGTCGCGATGTCATGTGCTGTAGAAAATGCGCAGTGGACGACTTGCAGAAACAGTCAGCTACAAGACCGTACTTATCGGGGACCCTTGTAGAATATTCCATTAAATGCAATGCATTCATGCATCGTGAAAATGCACAAAACTTATAAATGAAGAGTTCCTTTGTTGTGTAGTACAATAGATATTTGTTTTGTAATGAATTTTTTAGTAATAAAATTTTTATTTCTTTAGGTGATGTATGACATTTTTATGAGGCCCTGCGCCCGATGACCCTAACGCTCGTCGTTACTCGAATAGGGCTGCTTGACATCAAAATCGCGGTGCCGTAACTTTCACGGCAAGGCATAGCAGCGGCGCTTCTTACGTCACAAGTGTTGCCATTGCTTGTTATTACGTGTCAGCACGCTCAACTCGGCTTTTTTGATTCGCACCATTCCCCCTTAAGGGTCCAGTAAAGGCGAATCAGCCGTTTTAAATTGGTGACGTTAGAGGCGAGGAAAGCACGAAAAATTTCCAACCATTATTCTGCGAAATGAATTACATTGATCTGCAAAGACTAGACCTGGAGGTATCTAGATACTCACGAGAAGTGTCAGCCGATTAGTTTTTAACGGATCATGCACTAGGAAAGGAGATACCACGATCCAAAAATTAGTCTGGTAGGGCCAGTGACAAGCTCGCAATTCTGAGGCAACAATACACTAATAAACACAATATCATCATAAACACGGACCGGCTGACACATTTTGCACATCTACTGATTGATTTAGCACTAGTAACTCGACGAAGAAATAAATAACATGAAAGAATAGTGGAGGGAAATTTTTCACTGTTCCAGCTGTCATTTTTCACGCCTTGAGCTTCAAGCATCTAAGTCCAGATAACAAACTAGGCGTCACAGCATGGTTATCAATCACTTATTTAAATATTACACAAATGATAACGGAAAAAGGAATATAAATCCATACTTTAATGTAAAAATATTCTCAATTAAATTCTGTTTTAAATGCATTCAGGAATTAAAAAAATAATGCCGTTATAATTACAAAATTAAGGTGAAGTGAAACACGTCGAGGAACTTGATCGACGTCGATAAAGAAGATTTTTCTAAATGCCTACGTTGCCGCCATTGGTTTTTATATTGACAGCTGTGTCGAATCATATTGGGTATTGTACCAAATGACATACTCCACCTGTCGTTTTCGTACAATAAATATCAAGAAACGAAGTAAAACTTCAGAAATCCTCTGAATTCATGCTTTCTGGGGCCCTAATTGACTGCAGAGGGACCCCCTGCGCCATCTGTGATTTCCCGGTCAATTAAATTTTCACTCCGAGACCTCGTATTCCCATCGTTTTGGTATAGAGGTGCATACAACACTTTTTTTGCCTTTATCGCGTTCAAATGCGAGTTTATCGATTACCAGAGTGTTCTAAATTGTCGTAAAATTGTCCCGACCCTTTCGTTTTTCATATCAGAGTCTTCGATAATTGTATATTGATCGAAATATGAGACCTCGACGCCATTTTGGTTCTAGTCTGGGTTAAGTTAAAAAGATTTTTAAAAAAATCCAAATTTTGAACGTGTCAGGACAATTCATAGATGATCAGGAGTGATGTGTCAAAGTTTCGGACAGTTTGGTATAATACCCTTAAAAAAAAGTATTGTATTCGAATCGACTGATTTGAAGGGGGTTTCACTTCAACTTAACTTTAGTTTCTCGAAGCCCAAATCGATACAAGGCGATGTTGCCAGTTCTATATAATCCATAGTTGCTAAGTTGCGTAGAACTATATCGATCGCTAGGATCTGGTTTCCTCTCGTAGCTCAAAATCTCGCTCTAGAGTCAGCTGAGAGGACGAGGCAAAGAATGAGAAGGATAGAGCACAATTGAGACACAAGCAAACACGCATACACATTCAAGGACAAATCCCAAACCGATGTATAGAAACATTGCCGACACGATCTGTAGTTGTCACTTCGGCATAAAGCATTAATCGTTGGAATTTGATTTTCTCGTAACCTGACATTTCCAGTTCAAGCGCGATCGAGAGTCGTTTAACAAAGAGGGTCGTATCAGATGTTTAAGTCTTTGGTTCGAATAAATTTTGATGAAATATAATGTCCAATGCAGACTTGCAGATGTTTATTCAAATAATTAGAATCTCCTACAATGCGTTTCCAAAAAAAATGAGCTATTCAAAATATAGCGTACGCCGTATGATATTATCAAATGTTTTGTCTGTCGAAAATGATATAATCTAACATGTAAGACGCACAGACCACTACTGTAAGACACTAGGTTCCGGGGAAAAGTCGATCAATTTTTGGATAATCTATTATCTTCGACTCAATATATATGTTTTTGTATTTCGTATGTTTTATGATATAACAATACTAAATTAAAAATAAATAGGGTATACAAATTAATCGAATATAACAGCAAAAAATTAAATTTGAAATTATTTAAAAAATGCATTATCTGTGTTAAGAACTGCAATTTTATAAAATTTTATTTAATCCAGGGACGTGAACGTTTATTTGTACATTTGTTAAATATTCGAGCACGGACGCGTGCCAATTGTGTTTAAATTCCGCGCTCGTTGGGCGGTAAAAAACAGTAAAATGCATGTTGGTAAAATTGGGTAAAACAACGTTATTAGTTTTGTCATTTGTAGGAATCATCAGTATCGATTAAACTTCGTATATTTTACGCAAGTGGCGTAAATATCATTCACTTTTTGGCCGGCCGTAGTGTACTTAATACTTCTCGTCGTACTTAACACTAAAACTACTGAAAATTTACATATAAAAACATTTCTATCGAAATCGATTAAATATCCGGTTTGTAATTTAAAGCTTTATTTTTGTCAATTGAAGTCAAATAATAGACAATTTAGTAAGCGTAGTAATGAATGAAATAATTTTTAACTGACTAAAGCAATTATATTTTTTTTTAATTCAACATTTATATTTTCAATTGAGTTTACTGCGTAATATTAGGTGCAAAGATTTGCATCAATTTAATGCAATATGTACATGCGATGAATATCGTTCATATTAGGACAATATTTAACCATTACAAACAAATGAAGTGGGAATGTTCAAACTTGTCTTCTGTGTGTTGACATCTGTGTATGGAATGAAACAATTTGGGAAGTACCCAAATTTGTATTAAAATCAAGACTTTAGAGTTGATTATTCAAACGGGTGAATAATTGGTAGAAATAGTTATGGTGTATCTCGGAACAAATCGTGATGGAAAAGAGGTAGATAATGCAAAACTGAATTTATATATAATATGAAAAACGGTGAAATCACTTGAGGAAAAGTTATACAATTTAAGAAATGTCTTTAAAGTAAAATTTTTGAACGGGTCATTTGACTGACTTCGTAATTTTAATATTAATGGCACATTTCCACAACTTTTTCTAATAGTCTATACGGTATATAGCCTTTATCGTATATTTGTAGATCCTTACTCATACCCCATTTTTATGAGCGCTTTTAAGTTTCTTTTTGTTAAATATGCTCGAAACGCTGCTAAAAAACACGCTATTCATACCGTAGCACTTTTAGTTAAAAGACTGCTTTTACGAAATATGATATGACAACGTCGGAAGAATGTGACGACTGCGTTACGCACATGTGTTTCGCTTGCCCAGCGTATACATTTTTCGTATCCCAAAAGTTTAGAGTCTGCGGAACTTTGCCGCAAAAATATAAAACGAGTTTCACTAAAAGTTGTTAAAATTTGATGTATGATTTAGACAGCTAAAAGCGGTATAAAAGTCTCCCTATCTACTTCTAAGAAATCGTCGCTCACTGTTATCCTAAAAACGCTCCAAAAGAAGTTTAAAAGGGGGTATGAATAGGTGCTGTTAAATACGTCTTTTATAGCTTTTTTTAAGGATTTTCTATAAAAGTGGTTTAAAAGCGACACACGAGTAAGATTACTTTTAACAGTGCTCTAAAATACGCCTTTGAACGCTGAAAGTGAGATATGAGTAAGGACTCTAGTTGCAACAATGTTAGTGATAGTTTTCTATAATATACAGGTTTAATCACGTGTTTTAGCAAAGAATCGTATCTTCACACGCTACTAAAAGAACCACTAAAACCGGAAAATGGTAATCCGGTTCACGAGTATGGGATTTATTCGATTGCTAACAAACCAGCTAGTGTCGGCGCTTCTGTGGCAGGATCAAGGGACACCATGTGGGTGCAAGACAACGTATCAAGAATTATGCACCGAGTGGATGGCATTAGATTGGATGATACTACTCCATCTGCTACTACGGGAGCAGTTTGTCTATCCAAATTCAACATTTTAACTCAAGGAGACAAGCTGAATCAGATCAAAGCGAAAAGATGTCTTCCGTCTAATCCCGCGTCCATTAATGGATCAGCGGTACCATCAGCTGTGCAGTAAGTGTCCGTGGTTAATTAACTATGAATTCTATTTCCAAAAATATATACGATCGATTGGTCGGGTTGAAATGTTACATCTCGATTAAACATTTTTTAATATCACATTTTATTGCAGAAGGAACTTTTACATATTTCGTATCTAGACATATCTAAGTCAAAATATCTATTTATTCTGTACATTATAATGGATGTAACTTCTATTGTTTTGTATAGAAATTATTTTCTTCTGCAATTTTAATTGCATTTTAATGCTATTTTTCATTTTAAGGAAACATGAAATCTTAATTGCTAAAAGGAATATCGAATTCCATTATAGGGGAAGATAAGAAGACTGAAGGTTAAAAAAAATTAAAGTAATCTTCAATTATCATTTCTAAATAATTACTTGAAAAAAAAAACAGTCTCACAGGATTTAGTTATGACGCTAAATAATTAGCGTGATAATTAATCTACTTTTTTGTTGTGTTCAGTGCTCTGAATTTCATATTCTTCGTGTTAAAATAAATCTTTATGTGCTGCAATAAAATGCAGGCTTTCGATTCCCACTACAATAACAGTACAAAGTTATTTTACTTGACCTTGTAACAGAGATATTAAGTCTCTAATAGTAAACAGGCTGCATTTACAGCTTGATATTGTTTGAAAGAAACATCGGCGACTTGACTTTGGTTCTGTATTTTTTTGTAATATTCTAGTCGTATTAAGAAATGTATGTCATATCTGAGTATTCGTTGTAAAAATTTGTAACATTCAGAGCCACGGCACACGACAGCGTGGCCCTGTTGTGGCCCTTATGCGCATAAATGTCGAAATACTCCCAACAGAATACCTAAATATTTTAACTGTAATTTCAATCTAATTAACCATACAATAATTATTCATGAATACTTTAATAATCTTACAACAAGCACTAATCTTTTTTTCGATAGAGCAGAACATTAATTAACATTCCCGATTGGCACTTTTAGTCCATACTTGGGACCTTTACTACAATCTAGATGTCAGAAAGGCGGCATTACCGCCCTGGTTGGGACAAAAGAGAAAGACACAACAAAGCGATTATTGGCTCGTTCAACCACGACTACGATCATCAAAAGGTTTGAACCTTCCTTTATTACTTTTTTGGCTTTTCTTACTTTTCCATTCCTAAGAAAAGTTGCTTTGCTTGCTAAATGGCTATGTGCAATCTAAGATTTTGGAGAATCTTTGTAGTAAGTACCTTGTACTTCCTTCGGATCATGTTCTTCATACCATGTATACCTTCTGTCCTTATGTAAACTACTAACCGAACACGGAGCTCTCTTCTATCGCCTTGTCAATTGTAGAAACAATCGTTTGGCAAATAGCAGCTGCGAGACGCCGTGTCGCCGTGTTAATTCTAAACAAGTGGGCCAGATCTACAACAATACCAATAATAATCAGCACAGCAGTGACAACAACAATTGCAGAAGTGGTGGTAGCAGCAAGAGTACCGTTATACCTACTTCCGCTTCAAAACCAGTCACTAGGTCGAGTGTACGAGCCAGTTGTGTGCCCGAGACGCGGGTCAACGTTTCTACTGCAACTCATACAATCCAGTCTTCTCAACCAGGAATGAGTATGATTCTCAGGTCTGCAGATCGTGTTACTCGCTACCACTCCCTCCGACAGTAAGTATCAATACGGTAGTATCTGTTGTTTGTTAGAGAGCAGTACGAGAACTTTTCTTCGATCAGTGAGTCTTTAATCTCAGTGAATTTCTTTTCAGTGACAAAGGTCGAGAGTAAGGAAGCATGTGTTCTGGTAATTGTTTGATTATGCCTTAGCTTGTACATAAAGTGTACACAAAAGCGATGAAATTGTTTCCATACTCTCACGGCATTCATTATTATATTCTATAAATAATTGTGTATTTCATGAAAAACATACAAATTTCAATTTATTATTAGTAATTTTCTACATTTGGAATGAGATTTTATTTCTTTGCTGTGAGGGGATATGAAAGGCGCCAAGAAATTTAATCGATACTGATAAAATAGATTTCAACTATAACGCTATTTTGGACACTCAAGTGATTACATAAATTAGTTGTATTTGTGTTGACGTTAGTTACACTCTACGTTGAAAATTATACCAAATAAAGCTCTTCATATGTCATTTCAATAGAATGATTATACAGAAATCGAGGTAAAGCTCAAAAAAATCCCTTGGATTCGTAATTTTGAATACTCTAATTGACCAACGGCGCCACCAGTCACATTTAGCGGGAACTAAATTTTTCCCCTAACAGGACGATGCTTACACATTTATAAAACTTTTCTTTATATTTCCCACGTACGTTTGTAATGTTTGATTACTATAATGTTCTCAATTGTTACGCCTACTCCCTGAAAGTCTTCATTTTCGATCCTAAGCTTTCAAAAGGCATAAAATAAAAATATTTGTTTACGACGCCATCGTGGTCCGTGTATGAGATAAATACAAATTTTTGTTGAAAAACGAAATTTCATGAATTTCAGGATCTTCATTAGAACTGCCATAGTCACGCATTGAATCTTCAAATAATTCGGTGAAAACCATCCAATTCAAAGAAAAGTTTTAGAAATATTTTAACTCTTCAGAAGCCTCTTTCATTTCACCTTAAGGGGGAATGGTATAATATTTTCTCTGTGTGCGTTTTCACACTTACGAAAACTGGAACGGGAAAAATTTGCACTCAAAAATGTCTGTACAGGATGTACTTCGAATAATTTGAATTGATGAAATCAGTCTTCTGATAATATTACTTTTCCTGCGGAGTCAGATTTTTTCAAATATTTGTGAGAAAAAATAAATGATGAGTAAAAATCCGTACTGGCAGTCCACGAATCTGTCATGGCAGTCCAACATGGCCTGTGTCGTTGCTCGTTCAACGCTTATGGCCCTGTGACACGGAACCATTAATGAAAATCAAAAAGGGCCATGCAGGAAAAGTTGTACGCTCGTCAACCTCACCCCATATCACTGGGATTCGTCATTGAATAGCCGAACTCGACATTTTTGGGTGCGAACATGCGAAGCTGTTAGCGAGAACATTTTCCTCGCATAAAACTTGAGCGAATTTCCGCCACTGGGGTAGTTGTACGTCGTGACGTCATGCCCTGTAAAAGATGGGCAGTGGACGACTTGCAGAAACAGCCAACTATATGACCGTACTTATCGGAGCCGTTGTCGAATTTTCCATTCGATGCAATGCATTCACGCATCGTGAAAACGCACAAAACATATAAATGAAGAGTTCTTTTGTTTTGTAGTACAATAGATATTTGATTTCTAATGAATTACTTATTAACGAGGTCTTTATTTCTTTACGCGGAGTATGACATTTTTATCTAAGCCCGGCACTCTGTGACTTACACTTGACGTTATTGGGATAGAGCTGCTTGACATTAAAAGTCACGGTGTTGTGATTTCCAAAGCGGTACAGCCATGGCGTTTACGTCACAAGTGTTGCCCCTTCTTGCTGTTATGTGCCAGCACGTTCAACTCGGGCTTTTTTAAAACGTACCATTCCCCCTTAACCGAATTAACGTGTTCCTGTAAGGATATACGATGTGGATAATATGTAAATACACGGTGTCCTAGAATGGACGCCTAGTAAAAAGCTGGCATGATTCCTAACGAAAAATGAATTAGTAAAAGTGCAAATAAAATGTATCAAAAGTCAAAACCTGAATGGTATGTTTTTGGAATGGAATTAATTGGATTAAAGGTTTAAACCCTTATTCATATTTCACTTTTAAGCGATAAAAGACGTATTCTAGAGCACTGTTAAACACGACCCTTCTTTTGTCTTGCTTTTAAATCACTTTTGTAGAAAATTTCTAAAACAAGGTATAAAAAAGACGTATTTTAGGTGCAATACCTACTTATATACGCTCTTTTAAGCTTCTTTTTGAGCTCTTTCAGTGAGCGTTGATTCCCTAAAAGTGGATAGGGGGATTCTTATACCGCTTTTAGTTGTCAAAAGTGTACATGAAAAATGGAGTGCATTAACGACATTGTTCACAAAACAAAAGATCGTGAAGTGAATACAGTGCATTACATAATTACCTGGGACATTTGAAATCGAATTTATCTCGTCCTTGGTTCATCAAGAAATTGGGCTTTGGTTAGATCTTTATTTTGCAAAGTCACTTTCCATTTTTGCAGCAAAGTTCAGCAGACTAAACTTTTGGCATACGAAAAACGCATGGGCTGGGCAACCGGAGCGTTGTCATATCACATTTCGTAAAAGCGGTCTTTTAACTAAAAGTGGGCTTAAAAGAAGGTATGAGTATGGCGTTTTCTAGCAGCGGTTCGATCATATTTAACTAAAAGACATTTAAAAGCTCCCATAAAAGTGAGGTATGTCTAAGGGCCTTAGACCGTCACGCATCCTGTGAAACGCGCGGCTAAGGTGAGAAGCTTAACTATGTGCTCAAAACAATGGATGTGTGTCTCACACATGCACTCTACTTAAACACTTATTGTCAGTCCAATTGACTCTTTTTGACGAATGTATATCATGCATATTAAACATTTTAGAAAATCATCGGTCCCACTTTTGTTACTTCAGTCTCTAGTAGGAGTCACATGCGTTATTTATTAAGTAATGTGCATACAACTCATGTCCGAAAATTCGTGTCCAGTAAGGTATAAACAAGATTCCCAGCAAAAAAAAAACTATAAATACTTCATCTTGGTCTACTTTGAAATTAACTCACCGTTTTCATGATAACCCTTTGCAAAATTGCACGAATTAAAGAACATTTGTCGCGAGTAAATTGTTACTCAAGTAATGACATGAACAGCTTTGCGTGTTCCACTCCAGATGAAACGCATGCAGCATTGATTATTGCGATCTTTTTATTAACACATTCGCTTTTTATTAACACATTCAAATTTTTTCTGTTTCAAATACTAAGTAGCGGCGAAAATAATGAAATTCTGAAACTGGTTGCCGCAAACTTGTATCGTGTATCGTTATGGACATGATTCACGCCAGCGGCAATCAGGAATAGAATTTAAAATGACTTGAATTTATGTCAGCGACAACCAGAAATAGAACTTAAAAAACCGTGAATTCACGTCAGCGGTCGCGAATGTGTTAACACATTATCGCTTATAGTAAATTGAAATGTACTGTTTGATTTATGCGAGTAAATTATGATCCCGATATTGCTGCTTGCGTTCCGAGCGAAGTGAAACGTAAAGTGCTGTGTACACTGGCGGATATGAATGCCTCCGTTATGGGCGTGGTACCGCAAGTGCAGGAAGAGAAGGCATTCATGCTCGTCACTGTACATCATCGCTTGACAACAAATTTACGAGAAGGTAAAATTGTTCTTTGATTTGTCCAGCTTTGTAAGGTGATCGTGAAAACAATGCGGTGATATAAAAATGAACCAAGACGAAGATTCATTAGTTTCTTCCCAGAATTCTCAACAAATTTTCGAAAACCCTGTAGATATATCAGGAATAGACCATTCACTTAAAGCACATATTTTTTTAAAGTCAATAAAATAGATCAGTAAAAATAGTATACTTTAGAGTACCCATTCGACAAATGAAAGTACTAATTTAAACGGGTATGAATCTAGTCCTAGTTCCTTGAAATGTTTTCTTTTTTCACAGAATAGTATATTGTGTATCAAGGGCATAAAGAAGGTTATTATGATCTTTTGGCCGTGACATACGATACTTTTTCTCAACACCCTTTGAAAACGCATTTTTTTTACGCATTTGAAGCAGGAGTAGAGCAGCCGATTTTAGGCCGCGAGCGAAAATAATTTTGATTGCGAGAAAAATAGTAGATTGTGTTATTAAGGGCGTAAAGAAAGTCAACATGATCTTTCATTCGTGACACACCGATACTTTTTGTCAATTCCTTTTGAAAACAAGTTCACATCGTACTTTACGCCCGCTTCAGTGAGCGTACAATTTTTTAAACGGACTTATTGTATTTGCTTGGACTTATATCCAGTAGTGTATACAGCAGAAGTTATTAAATTGGTCTGATATGAAAATGTATAAAAGTATTCCTTTTATTTCTTAATATTTCTAAATTAATTAATCATGTTTTAAGAAGCCTCGTATTATTCGTATTTATTAAATTAAAATGAGGCAAATTATAATTGAAATAAATTTAGACATTAATTTTATTTTTCAACTTTATACCATAATACTATGTTGCCAGAGCATTTGAGTAAATTCTAATTACGGTTTTCAAAATATGAATGGTCATTTTTATAAAAATGCATTCTGCAAATATATATTTGTTATAAAGTAAAAATGTCCGACATAATTTCCCCCCCTTGCGTAGATAATTTTGAATTTGCTAAATATAGCAAAAGTACACAAATTACAAATATATGTACTCTCTTCTCTTATATTTTTTTCAGCTCACGCACAACAAAAACCTACAAAACGGCATTTATTAGATGACTAACCGATATCCACAGTAAAGTTGGGGAGGAAGAATCAATTATAAAAACGTCTCGTCAGCACCGAAGATCACGCCGATTGAATCCTATCGTTTAGCGAAACACGGAATAACAGAATAGCGTTTTTCGGCTCTTCTTTATATTCTCCTGTTAAACCATCACAACATACTCAAGGAATCCGAGGCTTGACGAAAGTTTATCAAGATGACGAATATTGTAGATTCGTTTTGTAACATTAATCACTGAATAATGTATAACAGATTTTCATTCCTGGTCTGATCACCGGGCCTTCAAAGTGCACGAAACTAAATGCAATTAGACCAGTATTCTGAGTTAAATTTAAACAAATTAATATTCACAAAATAGCTGCTCATGAAAGAAAATATTTTATTTTCATGGTTTAGAGATCAATAACCCTAAATACTTACAATGGTTTTTCTCATTTTAATTTGAAACGTTTTATATGAAATGTTTATATTCTTTTCCATATACTGGGCGAAATGCTAATCGAAATGAAAATGTTTCGTAACGACTTTTCAATTTATGTTGCTAAATGCAAAATATAAGTTTCTGTTTCATTAGGAATACATTAAAGGAACCGTCTATCCGAAATATTGTAGTTAAATTATCTATTCAACGTAATTATTTCAGAAATGATGTTCTCAAATATCCTTTTGAAACCCCTTCAGTTATGAACACCGCTAAGAAATACTAATTGCTTAAAACATTCTTATAGAGGCATTTCAAAACATTTCAAAAATAAGTAATATAATTTGTTATTTATGTATTTTTTATGTGAAATGCTTTGAATATTATTTCAAATAATGCTCAAGCACTAATATTTAACAATTATGAGTATTAAAGATGATTAATAACTTATTGCCGTTGTACTATTTTGTTCATAAACATCAATGAGCACGACTCAAACAGCACGAGCATTATGAATGTTGGTAATGTCTTTTTCAGTCTATTTCATTTTATTGTGTAAATGCAAAAGTAGCCCCCATACTACATACATTCAGAACAATCGAGTTATTTACGTTCATTTAGAATTACATTTCGTGACGCAAATACATTATTCAGTCGGGGAATGTAAAGTAACAGATAGATGGCGCGGAACCTACTTAGAATCCACGAGAAAGTGTCTAGAGATTTAGACTTTTATTTTTCACTCTAAGGAATGTAGAAATTGTGAAACTAGTAAAAGTTAAGAGAATCTCTGGACGAATTATGTCGATTAAGCATATACAATGATTAGCTATCAATGGCCCAGTTGTGATTATAATTAGACTATATCAATTATATATTATGATTATATAGAAGTTTCAGGAGCGGTTTATCTCCGTCAAAAAAAGCGTCATATTTTCTCTCACCGAGACAATACCTTGCGTACCTTCACTCTATTGATCCGTGTTTAATAATTTTTACCCAACCCCCTTCGAAAACGCGTTGACACTTGCTAAATAAGCGTAAAGCAACCGTTTTTAACGGAGGTTGGAAAAAATATACTAGTTACCACTCAAAAACGACTAAACCGTTTTATTGAAATTATAAAAATATGCTGGCATACCCAGTAAATAACAAAAGCATATAGATTTTATGTCAGCATCAATGCTTTTACATCACTTCAAAGTTGTAGTTTTCAGTTGAGTGTGTGATATCTGACTTCAAAATTCTGGTAAATGGAAAAAAAGTAAACTATCGATTAGGTTTTTACACGGTAACTGATGGTTCTGATTTTTAACATGGAAAATGATGAAAACCTATCTCATTTATCGTTTACATAATTACTAATTGTTAAATAAAGCCAATATTTCTAAAAGTACCGCTTGAGAACTTATTATCCTAATATGTACACTGTCCGATTCTGTACGCAATGATCTCGGAAATTACTAAACCGATTTCTCTATAGTTTTCAACAACATCTAGGGCCAACATGTGAGAAGGTTTTAGACAATATGGCATTTTAGCATTACAAAAAGTAGCTGAGTAATAAAGGAAATGGTAAAGTGAGGCAGGGAGCAAGTTTCATACAGTGACTACCGCGTGAGGGTTTAAAGCGCATTATCGCAAGTGCACTACACGGCGCGGCCTCACGACCGTTGGGTTGCAGGTTCCTGAGATAACTACTCGACAAAGGAGGTGGTTTCAACTGCTTTATTACTGTTACGAACAGGATAAGGACCTGACCATATGGGTACGATTGGTGAACACGCCATCACGTTCAATCATCCTTCAAGTACCAAAAGAATGTTTATTAAGAGATAAAACGTACAGAAAGGGGGGGTTCTTTTTCGTCCACCGGGTAACAACAAGGGACTTTCTAAGCTAACTGCGCAACAGCGCTCATTCAATCTCCTTGGACTTAAACTCCACATATCTTTCGCTAGTGGCGCTACGATCGAGCCCCCTTTCCAGGCTCATATTCATGAATCTCCTACAATTTTAATCTTCCAGCTCGACTCCCGAAACGACTTCTCGTGAGCACAATCTTGCGCACTCGCTATCACCACTACGAGGCCTGGGGGACATTCGTCTCAACATGCGGATTTAATACAACGCAGTTTTATAATTGCGCGACCTTGTACAACAACGCAAGTTTGACATAATGCGGTTTTTTTTTAATAGAACACAACGCGGGTTTTGCCAAAGAACAACACGAATTTACAATGGAACATACCGCGGGTTTTGCCAAAGAACAACACGAATTTACAATGGAACATACCGCGGGTTTTAAAGTAGAATAACTGTTTACCAGCGCGAACATTACCCGTTTTGGTGGATAAAGTTCTTAACGCGGAAGGTGGTTGGGAGGATTATATTTCAATACCTGCACGTTGAATGCAACCGGCTCTGCGAGGTCCTTCAGGAATTAAGTGCATTGGTTTTACTAGTTCGATTGATACGTTCTTGCACGGCGGTATTGTGAAAAGAGTAGGGGGGCCTCAGGAAGGGGAACTGCGGCTTGCGAATGCGGAGCGCAGGACAGGCGCTCTCTCGATTTTCAACATTGGTAAGTGATAGTTCGCGAAGAGTTAACACGTGAAGTTGTGCCTCACCGATTCGAAACATCGAGACGAACACGTGTGACGCGTTCAGGTCGAGACTCGCCTAAAGATTCTGATGACTGAGCATTGGCGCTCTGATTCAGACTTAGAGAGAGATTCCGGGATGACCGTCTAGAAACTGACGGGTTTGTATTTCAGGATCTAATTCCAGTGGGCCTGGCAAAGCCGCCATCCCACCTCCTTATCGCTCCCACATCCCTAACCAAAAATTCTGCCAACTTCTCACCGGCCCTGCATTGCAGTAGACCCGGTCATCAACCCCGACAATCCTTTCACCAGCTAATCTCGGCGGCTGGGTAATTAAAATAAGTCATACTAAGCCCCGTAGAGCACAGCTCCGGGTAGAACCATAGATTTACGAATCTAATAAATTCGAGAGACGGTGACAAAATTCACCCATTAGGAATAGAGTTAAGCTTAGGCCGATCGCCCAATCCTCACAGTAGGGTAATATTCTTACGACAAGGTTCAAAAAAGGGAACCTCAAAGTAATTTTATTAGCATCAGCTAACTCTTCGTCCGGAACAGAATTCGGATCGTGAATTAAGGAAATGAGAAGGCGACAAACTTATTCGCGGAACTAAGCACTAATTGCCCATAGTATTAAGGTGATGTGAAAGGCGATAAGCAACTCCGAATTCTTCCCCTGGGTCTGGGATGGTGTCGATAAAAAAGGGGCCCTAATAAATACAGCGCCGTCTGCATAGGCTGCGGCTACTAAGATATGCCGTCGGTAACGCCGCCACACTTGTATGGTAACGAATTACCCTAGACGTTACCGACAATATAACTCGTAGTGGCGGTAGTCTCTTTCTTTTTTCAGAGCTGCACGTAATCTGATGGAGTGAATTCTAATGAAATCCTGGCAGAATGTTTAGGGCCATGTA